CAATTCCGAATAGGACCTGATATCTGTTACACTATACACACGTCCTTTTATTTTATTTCTTTTTAATCATTTTATCCCCAAGCAAGGCGACAAAGCTACTAAGATGCAAGAGCTCCTGCGTCCGAAAGAACAAGAAAAAAATTATTCAGGAGACAGATCAATGAAAGAACAGGAATTAAGAAAACAGAAGATAATGACTGACATTGTACTCAAACTCTTGAAGCTCAAAACCGACTGGTAAGCAACAGCCCGATCTGCACAGTTAACTCAGTAACGTCTGACAATGCAATGTTCTCTCGAATCTTTAAGGAGTGGCTTGTGTTAAAATTAAAGTGGATCGTGTGAGCAAATTAAGTCGTATAACTTACGTTCTGGGAATTGAAGGCTTGAAATATATATGTATTTTTAAGAACGGCAGTTAACATAATCGTGACAGGGGAAACTTCTTAGTAATTTGACAAGCGTACAAGCTTATCAAATTTGCATTGAATATTACCGTTACATCTGGTCTGGTGCTACTGTTATGTATTTAGAGATTCTTGATAAAAATCCAAACAAGAATCTGCAATTTTATCGGTCCTGATATGGAATCTCGGCTTCAGTCACTTCACCACTGTCGTAACGTAGCTTCCCTGTGCTTTTTAGATAAATATTTTCATGGCAATTGCTCTAATAAACTTTCCTCTTTGGTAACTAGACTTAACTCAGTATAGATTGGTCTTACCATTTTACAGTTGAAATGGCTAGGTGTAAGTTCTATGCTTACAGTTTCTTCTCTCGCACTTCTCGCTTGTGGAATACTCTTTCGGCTTCTTACTTTCCAGTCAACTTTGATTATCAAAAATCTAAAGACAACGCCAATCGTTATATTCTGTCTTCTTAATTCCTGGTCTTTTATTGCTCACACATAATGTTTTTCTTTTTCTCATAGCATTTTACACTCAGTAACACCTTGCATCTTAGTGGCTTTGTTGCCTTGCTTGGGGTGAAATGATTAAAAAATGTATATTTTTTTTCGGAATTATGACGTTCAATGAATTGCTGAAGCAGCGTTGTAATTATGTTTAAATCAATTTCTTTCCTAGAAATTGCTTTCTTTTCAGAAAATGAACAATAGACTATCGTCGCTGCTCAAAAGATAATGTTGTGTATATGGTGGAATTATGTAGGATTTATCCACCGTGGGCTTATTTCTGAGAGCCAATACAATTAATTCGAACAAGTATAAAGGCTGTAATGAATTAAAAATAGGGAATGAGTTAAGACAAAGGTCATGATCTTTTATCAAGATAAAATGCTTTTATTTATGCTTGCTAACCTCGTAGACTCCCCTGTGAAGTATAGGGCCACAACCTCGCCCGCTAAGTTTCGCTCCTATGGTTTCTGTAGCAAGTATGTTTTTTATAGGATGTAGTTTAATTTAAAATCTCTGAGCTTGAAATTAAAATTAAAATAAAAGCGTCAAGAAAGATTTTTCATTTTTAAAAATTCATTTTAAACCTTAGGTATCACGTTTCTGTGGAGATACTGTGTATAAATAGTTGTTTTGTTATGCAAGTCAGCGGCCACCAAAATGTTGTGGGTGATTCATTCACATCACCGCAGCAGAAATTGGCCTCCTGTTCACAGAGATAAAAGCATACGTAACAGGAAATAAAACGTAGACAATTAACAGGAAAAGCATGATAAATCGTATGTTAATTTCATACAATTGATTTATATTTTTTTGTGTATTGGCGTGTGTATTTTTAAAGCTACAATTGTTTTATGGTACATGTGATAAAGGGAGAAATTTACTCCGTAGTATTACAAACCATATTACAGAGAGAAGTTGAACACGTGTTGCCCGTACCAAGGTTCGTGGTGAAGAGATAGAATTTAAAGTATTTTGGCAGGATGTCTGTATTTTCGGTAGGAACAGTTTTTGTTGCATGCTGGGAATATTTTTATTATTTTTAATTTGTATTTAATTTATTTTATACAGCGTTTTTTGTTATTGCTTTATTTTATTTATAATGATAATAATATTCCTACAGTACATATTTAACACGCATGTATTGTTTGGAATTCGGTCGTTTGAATTTTTAAAAAAACAAATTAAAACAAGATTGCTGTTTTCTGTTAGCAGTTTTATACTTGGACTTACGTCGTTTCTAATTTACAACATCTTGATTATGTGTTTTTTTCTATTCTATTTACATGTGCCACGCATTTTAGTTATTGCTGTTGTAGGAAGTCTTCAGGTGATGTTGCTTTTATTATTTGGTAAAGCTGTTTATTTATGATTATGTAGCGCCAGTCTATAGCATTATCTTCTTTAAAACCTAAAGGGTTCATTTACTTGAAACTGTTTTTAATCATTGATCTAAGAAAACAGTCGTTTATAGTTGATAGTTTAGACATTTTTGAATGAGATGTCATACGTAATATCCATATGAGGGTCTAGATCAGATGAGGCAATTTAAGAACATGGCTTGAGTTTCCTGGTTAATATTTTGGTTTTGAATCATACTATGGGTTGGATAAAAGTACCTCTAATACAGCCTATCTTGTCTTCTATTTCCTTATTTCCTGAAATAAATCTGGCACAACCAATAACGGTACTGTAAGCGCTCCTAATTACTAAGTTGACCATAATCAGCTTTAGTACAAAGACACAGATGTGATACACCTAATAATTTGATCCGAGTGCAAGGTAGTGAGGAAAATCAACGTCTTTATTATATGTTTTTTTTTTCTCTTCTAGTTACATGTGCTACCCATTTTTGTTGTTTCTGCTGTTGGAAGTCTTCAAGGGATGTGAAATTTTATTATTCAATAAAGTTCTTTATTTGTGATTCTGTATCGCCAGTCTACAGGATTATTTTCTTTAGGACTTAAAGGATTCATTTACTTGAAGCTGTTTTTAATCATTGATCTGAGAAAACAGTTGTCTATAATTGATAGTTTAGACATTTCTGAATGGGTTAGATACCATATGTAATATCCATATGAGAGTCTAGATCAGATGAAGCTATTTAATAGCATGACTTGAGTTTTCCTGGTTAATAATTTGCTTTTATATAGGTTGGATAACAAACCTAACCTGTCTTCTATTTCCTTATTTCCTACACTAAATTTGTTATAAATGATCTTTACACCAAGCTATTTGAAGTGCTTTGAATTATTAATTCCACATTCTGGATTTTTATGTTAGATTTAGCGCATGTGTAATCACTACTCCCATTTCAATTCCAGGTCATAATTTCTGTTTTGGAAAGATCTATCTTAAACCATTCTTCGAATTCTAAGAGGAGAATGTTAATTCATTTTGTTCAAGCTCATTCTTATACCAAACTATGAACACCTATGACGCCAACGTTTCTCCATTCATCATCAGTATACTGGCCTCTGGAGGGCAAACCAGAATGCTCTTTTCTCTTCGTATATTCATTTGGGATCTGTTACGGAATGTTTAAATTATCTAGGGCCGATTTCTTCACACGTGTGCTTGTACATGCGCAAAGCATAGTATAGAAAGAGATTAAACAGGTTGGGGCACTTATTTTGTCTTTGTACTCCTGATGAGGTTTGAAATGGTTTTGTTTTGTGGTCTCCACTAGAGAGATTAACTGTGAATCAATACAATTCATCTATAAGACCAAGGTGTTCAGTATAATGATAAGAAAGACAACGACTGAGAAAATTAAAACTAAAAACACAAGCGCATGCGCGAACACACTGAAAAAAAATATAACCGTTTGCAAGTTTATAATGTTGATGCCGCTATTATAATTTGTTATTGCTGCAGTCGACGATGTAAAGGAACCCGGTGCTTAACTATGATCCCATTTGATTCTAATAGAAATATTGATGGAAATTATGTTAATGGTAAAACGATAATGTTGTGCTTTACGACGAAAAAGATATTAGCATTTCTGATGACTATAGCATTTGTACCGCTAATGATTGATGAACGATCTCTCGGTGGAAATCCCTACGGTGCTGATATTGGTAGAGCGAAAGAGGTCAGGGGGTTACACACTGGTCTGTTAATGCGAACCACCCATATTGTTTTACATGTTAACGGTCGCTTAAGTGCTACAGAAACAAACCACACCCACATAAAATAAGCTTTCCAATATACAACTTATTCAAGGATTTAATTTTCCGGGACTGCATTTATAAAAAGTAGCCTGGGGGAGTATAAAGTTTCTGTCAGGAATCTCGTTAGTCGAGTTAAGGTTGGCCTTATTTAGTTGGTCTTTAAAAGGAAATTTATAGGGGTATTTAAATTTGCGATAACGACATCTGTTATATACACTTTCAGTTCGCCATTCTTTTTTTCTCTTTCATTATTTTCCCATTTTTTTTATTTCCACTTATTTTCTCCTTTTTCTGTTTCTGTCTGTTTGTTTTTTTTTTTAAATATCGGTCTTTCTTTTCTTTTTCTTTCTTTTTTCATTTTTCCATCTTTATTTTCTGTTTTTGTTGTTTATCTTTCTTTTTTCTTTCTTTCTTTTTTCAATCTTTCAGATCTTTTCTGTTAATTCACCCCCAAAATATTAATTCATTCAAAAGTAAAAAGAATTTATATTGACTAAAATTGTCACAAAATTCTCCAAAATTAGACCCTTCCATTGTACTTCGGTCATTCCAAATGTGGGCGACTCGGGTGCACGATTTCTGAGTTTGGGGTCTGCGTTCACGCCAAAAACAGAATTTTTTTTTTTTTTTTTTTTTTAAATTGTAAAAATTCTCTGTAAGTACCTCGAATATCATTTATGAAATGTGAATAACTTCCTGATTATTTTGTAATTTTTCATTCTGACGGTTGGAGATGTTGAGAGGTAAGCTAAACAAATTATGATTTAAAATTTCAAAAGAGTGCCTAAAATTTAATAAAAAGTCAAACAAACTTTGATTTAAAGTTTATACTTCCTTGGGGTGAATTAATTTTTGCGATAAGAAACTTCACATTATTTGTGGTGAATTAACTTCTTTCTTCAATTTCTATTTCTTTGATATTTTTCTTTTTCTTTATTCTTTCTCTCGTTTTAATTTCTATTTGTTTTTCTTTATATTTATTTCATTTTTTTTTTCTTGTTTTTTCTCTTTCTTTCATTTATTTTCTCATTCTTTCTTTATTTATTTGCTATTTTCTATTACTTTCTTTTCTTTTCCTTTTCTCATTCTTTCTTTTAACTTCATTTCTTTGTTTCTTTTACACTTTTCATTCGTTAATTTTCAATTTCTTTCTCTATATTTCTCATTTATTTTCTATTTCTTTCTTTTTTATTTCCCCTTCCTTCCTTTCTTATTCTTTTTCATCATTTAGCCTTGTTGTCTTTTTCCCTTTTTCTCTTCTTGTATCTTTCTTTTTCTTTTGTATTTTTCTTTCATTATACGCTATTTCTTTTTTGTACCTTTCTAAGTTCGTAGGTACATTCATATATATATATATATATATATATATATATATATATATATATATATATATATATATATATATATATATATATATATATATATATATATATATATATATAATAAGTACACATTTTCACTCAGCGGTAGCACAACTCTGAATGTTATGCACAATGCAGTCGTCAGGTGCTGATTGAAAAACTAAATAACAGCATCACTCAAGATATGATATCACACACACACACACACACACACACACACACACACACACACACACACACACACACATATATATATATATATATACACACATACATATATATATATAAGAAATGTTCCAGTGAATTACTGAAGCGCTCTTCAGGGTGAGATGTTCCATAACTCATAAATCAGATCATATATTTATAATCTCTTCTGGTCGTACTAATGGTAATTCTATCTTTCAAATCTCAAATTCAATTCAAATTCTTAACATGTTAGTTTCGTTAGAAACATCACAAGATTTAAATTTAGAATGTGGTAATTTTTACACACACACACACACATATATATATGAATGAATAATCAAAAAATCTTTTTACCTCATGTGGGGAATAGACTATTTCGACAGACGAGGCATGAAAATAAATACATCGAGCTCTCTATTGTGGATCAGATTGAATATTTTTATATTACTGGAATCCACTCGGATCATATACCCACGGATTAATTTTACATTTTCTACATAGAAAATTTTACGTAGAAAACTGGCTATATATATATAATATATATATATATATATATATATATATATATATATATATAATTTCGTCATAATTGCAAATTTCTAAGTATTGTATACTTCATAATATAGAAATTATCGATTATTTATTATATAGGATCTGATAATACGTTTAAAAGATTTATGAAACATTTGGTCCCGAAGAATGCAAACATTCTGAGTCAGCAAACCAAATAATTCATTTGTACTTTTCTTAATTTATTGAATATAATACCTTTACTTATCAACTGAGCGCTTTTGGGCAAGTTCTGCTAAACTGGTAAAACATGTAAAATTCTCGTAATTTTCACGTGTTTTCTCGCTTGCAACATATTCTTACTCATATATATATATATATATATATATATATATATATATATATATATGTGTGTGTGTGTGTGTGTGTGTGTGTGCATGCATTATTCATATATATATATATATATATATATATATATATATATATATATATATATTACTCATATATGTATTGTTGATGTTGGTTATTATTATTATTGTTATTAATTTGAAATTGTGATGATTATTGCAATGCGATGATGAGTTTTGCTGTCTGTATTGACATGGCTATTAGACATATTACTGTTACTCTTAATTGTGATTACCTCATGCTAACTTGTTCAGCCCTTTAAGGAAAAATTTGTTTCTAGGTGAACCTATCGGCTCATCTTTAATTCTTCCTTCTTTCCTTTCTTTTCTTTCTCTCCCTCCCCCCTCTCTCTCTCCCTCTCTTCTAGGAAAACGATTAAAATTAGCTAATCCTGCACCAGTAACATGTACAAAATTATCAACTCTCATAACAACTATATTTTAAGTATATTCTATGGGATAAACAACAAAACTGGTACGGAACCGCTGTAATTGTAGAGATAGAGACAATTGTCCAGTTAAGGGCAAATGCAGATCTACTGGGGCGATATACCAAGCTAGCATTTCCCTCAAAAAATATATTAAATTATGTTTACATTGGAATTTGCGCGGCGGAATGGAAACAGAGATTTTATACTCATAGTCACTCTTTTACCAACCCTAAATTAAAATACCAGACATCTGTTTCTAAAAAAAATGGGGAATTGAAGGAGAAAGGTCTGATAGACTAGAAAATGATAGGTTTCGCTCATACTCATAATAGTCTAAGAGATGGGTGTAAATTATGTTTAGAAGAAAAAATTAGAATAATAAATTACAATAATCAAAGCAAACTATTAAATCAAAGGAATGAATTAGTTTTAAAATGTCGCCATAGAGGCAGATTTAAACTTCTATAATAATATATATCTTACTTTATTACATTTTATTTTTTAACTCTTCTAATGTTGAATATATAACTAAATTTAATTTCCATATTTCCATTTCTTCTCCATATTTATCATATTTTATAACTGTCCCCTAGTCTAAGAACTTTCTTTCCTTTATCACTCACACCTCTTTATCCATATACTTTTTAAAAGTTTTTTTTTTTTTAAGATAACTTGTTATGTTTTGGTTTACTTAATATTTTAACTTATCTTTAAAGTTAGAATTGGATAATTTATTTTATCGTTAACTTTTTTAGTCTTTAAGATAAATTTTAAAAAATATATTCTCAATATGGTTGGCTGTTAATCTTGTTAATATATCTGATTTGTACGTAGAGTTTGGTATTTTTTAAGTGGGAACTTAACTTTATATATAATTTTTTTTATATATAATTAAAAATTTTATATATAAAACTCCCTTTTCGGCACTCCTTTAGTTAACCCCAACTTAGGGTCATAAGGTTAATATCCGGGTTGAATTTGTGGAGCATTTAAGACAGCTATTTCCCGCCGCCCCCTTACCACCGACCCGGACATTTCGTGTGACTAAGGCGTCGATATGGGCAGGTTCTGTATCAATTTTTCCACTGCTGTCAAAGTTAAATTTTAAATCTCTAATTCCGACACAAACACAGTCCATCTACCGGGGTTGAATAAGACCGACGTACTTCGCGTTGGCTGAAATAGATCTATACCCATATGAGGTAATTTTGTATTTTGTTGTGTAATATATATATATATATATATATATATATATATATATATATATATATATATGTATGTATGTATGTATATGAACACTGTTTTATTGCCACCAGGACTCACTGTGAGCTATCATATATATACGTCCCAAGCAAAGTAATAAAGCCACAAAGACGCAAAGGTGTACAGAGTGAAAGAAACTGTGAAAATGTTATTGAGGAGAGACGACAGTAAAAGGACGGTTTTAAAAGAAATAGGAAATGACGATTGACGTTGCATTTGAAGTTCGTAGTACGGAGGAAAGCAAGTAGCCGGAAAACAGATCCAGAAGCGAGACGTGCGGAAGAAGACACTATTAGCATCGAACTTACGGTTAGCAATTTCAGCAGCAAAACAATGAGATTTAGCTGCCAATCTAGTACTGAGCTTGGAATTCGTGGTACCAAAAGTGAAGCTAATTGTAACAATATATAATATATATATATATATATATATATATATATATATATAGAAAGAGAGAGAGAGAGAGATAGATAGATAGATAGATAGATAGATCGAGTATGGATAGAAATCCTACAAAATGATAGGTAAACAAAGAAGTACGAAACGGATCCAAATCTAGCGTTTAACTTCATTAATGCTTCGTCAGACATCAAAATGCAAATGATAAAAAGCAAAAAGATGCAGATAAATATTGCGTGGTTAGCCTATTATATTGCTTAGATTCGTGTCACGTATATTGAAGAAACAGGTAATATTTAAATATGTGTGGCAAACATTCTCGACGCTAAAATGTGTAAAAGTTAGTAAGATGCAGTCGGATGTTTTGATTGGATACGTGTCATGTATAAGGAAGTAACAGATAATATTCAATAGGTATACAAAATACGCACGAGATATACTTTAGTGAGAAATCGTTCAAAATATCCTGCAGCATTTCACCATCTTTTACATACATCCAGAATGTTTTTCTTACACTTATTTGATTAACTGTTACTTCTTTACACGTGACACGTATCCAATCAAAACATCCTACTGCATCTTAGTAACTTTTACACACATTAGTCTCGAGAATGTTTGCCACATGAATATAAATATTATCTGTTACTTCATTACACGTGACACATATCTGACCAATAGGAAATAACCAAACACAATATGCCATTAATCTGCATGTCTCTGCTTTTTATAATTTCTATCTTAATCTCTGACGAAGCTTTAATAAAGTGAAACATGTTAGATTAAGATCTGTTTCCTATTTTTGGTTTACCTATCATTTTGTGGGTTTTCCTGTCACACACACACACACACACACACACACACACACACATGAAAAAATATAGTTTTAAGGTGTGCTATATTTATGGGATAAAGTGCTCAAATATTAGAGATAGAGCGTATATAAATATAAAAGTGAACATTGAGGTCAACACACAGAGGCGACTGGCTGTTTCATGCTAGACATAATCGTCAGGCCATCGTGGCCTGACGATTACGTCTAGCATAAATGGTAATTAAACCTTCTGTCATCTCTAGGTGTTGACTTCAATGTTCACTTATATATATATATATATATATCCACATTCTAACCACTCATCCACGTGTCCACTTTCTGACCCTGGTCGATTCGTCAGGAAGGTAACTTTGATGTTATTCGTCAGGTGGGAGGCGATACCAGGGTGCGGCACCTGAAGTGTCTGAAAACCATACTACGGGCTGACCCATGCTTTGTAAATGAAATTAGGTGGAAGGAATTCTTTAAGAGCCGTGGAGGGTTGTGCTAGCACGAAGTCATAAGTCATCGTGGTTGAGGCCGTGAGCGTGCTGGCCTTGTTCAGACTGTTGATCACGCTAGATAATGCATTTTCTCCCAGAAACCGTAACTAAGTTCCGCTTAGCATAGTTTTAGTATACATTCTGTGGGTGCTGAACAAACACAAATGTGTCTGAGCAGACGTTTGCAACAGGGATTGACATACATCGTCGGATCCGAGCTGCCAGCCATTATATGGTTTAAACAATCTGTTTAACGACCTCCCAAAATATAAATCTACTGCAGATAAGATAGAAAGGAAGCTATTATAAAATAAATAAATAAATTCAAGAACAAGAATTGTAATTTGTAAGACGAAACCTGAAAAAGAAAATGAAGAAAACTTGGATGAAAAACGTAACAATCAAATAAAAGAATGACAAAATAAAATATTAATCGCTTAATGGGGAAAAAGAGAAAAAAAATCGAAAAAACAAAACAAAAAAAGATATAGCGGAAATGGTAATTAAACCAAAGATTAAGGAACGCGAGGTTGAAGGAATTAAAGATTGAGAATGTAGGAAGGTGGAAAATTAGGTAAGCAAAGAGGAAGAATAAGAATGTAAGAGGGAAAAAGGGGAGAGAGAGAGAGAGAGAGAGAGAGAGAGAGAGAGAGAGAAAGAAAAAGGAAAACGAAAAGAAAAAGAAAGGAATTGCAAGTAGAAATCTGAGTGATGAAAGAAATACATCAGAGACTAATTTAAAATAGCCCGCTTGTCGTTCAAAAGTTTTAAGCTCCTTTCTATATTAGATTTTCGCATATTATTAGATATATCAACAAAGTGCCAAGTCTTTAAGCTGTCTACTATCTTTAGCGGAAATTACCTTCATCTGAAAAAAAGATTTATATGAATCTTAAAGGATCAGTTTTTAGAAAGTAATCAAAAATTCCAGCCGACCAACCTCAAAAAAAAAAAAAAAACGTACCAAAGTTTGGCTTATATATTAGATTGTCTCATATATATATATATATATATATATATATATATATATATATATATATTTTTCAAGTTTATTGGCATAAGCCATTAATTTAGCGAGTATTTTTTAATATCTAAGTAATCTCGTCCCTATTTTGTTTTTCAGGTGGTTGTTTTTACAAAATATATTTGACTGCTCAGTTTATAAAAGTTCAAATTGTGATTCCGGCCGTATCACGATGAAACATTGGTTTTCGGACGACCGCCGATGTTAGGTAACTTTCAGCCTGGTCAGTACCTAGATGGGTGGCCTTTTGGGAATACCAGGTGCTGTAAGCTTGGATGTGCGGGTGGTGTAATGCAGTATTTCCCAACCTATGGTTAAAATGGGCCATGGCATGTTTCAGGTGGGCCACAGAATTCTTTTATAATTTTCACTGGGCAACAGTTTATTGAACGCTCCATAGAGCTTTTATTGACTACTAGTCCTTAAACTAATGAATAATCTTAGATTATGAAAATTTACTAATTACTTGGTGTTTGAATAACTTTTAATTAATCAGGTACTGAAAATACTGAATTAAAATCTTGCTCATTACAGCTATTCTACTCTGATTTTGTGAATGTACCGGTATATATTGATAAGTGGATATATCTATAAACTCTTATAAAGGCTTATTAGTATTTAATTGGTGTTTCAATTATGTTCAAGAAAAAACAATAAATTTCTGATGTTAATGAAATTGTGGGTGTCGAATAAATAGTCATAGTTGTATTGGAATTATTCTATGTAAAATGTAATATTTTAAAATATAATAATTTCATGGGTCACAGAAAGACTCTGGTTTCAAAGTGGGCCATGAACTAAAAAAGTTTGGGAATCACTGACGTAATGAATGAAGGCTCAGAATTGAAAATCACATAGCCGAATTGCAATGTCAATCGGCGCCGTTATATTCACTTACGCGCATATAACCTTGAGGCATGTATAAAAACCTCTTCTCTCGTTCCCTCGCAAGAGTTGAATAGTCGGACTCTATTATTATCGTCCCAAAATAAAATCTTATAATCCAAACATATTTTCTGGTTTTTATCTGCAAAAAATTGATAAACATTACCCCCCCAAAAAAAACAACAAACAAAAAAAAAAACAAAAAAACTACCCCAAAAACTCAGACAAACAAACAAACAAACAAAAATCCGTTTGCAGGCTCTTTGTTCCCACCATACGTTTTGGATTATTCTAGTATCCTTCCCAAATTCTGGCAGTTCAAATAGACTTTTTACCTACCTGAAATGATTTCTTACGTAATCGACGAAACATGAATATACATTGTTTTATACTTGTATTTCTCTCTCTCTCTCTCTCTCTCTCTCTCTCTCTCTCACTGAAAGTATTCTGATCATAAATATTTTTTTAATCGGTATCATCCCATGCAAGGCAGTAAAGCCACTAAGACACAAGAGGTTTCAGGGTGTGGAAGAATTAGGAGCAGAAGCATTAATAATTACCAGAAAGAGAAAAGAGTCATCAGGAGGTCACTAGATAGCGATTGACATCGCATTTAAATTTTTGCAGATTAAAGTTGGCGGAAAAGCATGGAGCCGGAAAGGACTTCCACAAGCGAGAAGTACGAGAGAAGAAACTGTTAGCATAGAATTTACGGCTACATTTAGCCAGCTCAACTTTAAGCTGATGAAATTTCGACACCAGTATAGTACTGCGCTTAAATTCAAGAACTCTAGGTGCCATAGCGAAGAGCCCATCCGAACAATTACCATGAAAGTATTTATAAAAAAAAAAGACACAGAGAGGCAACCTTACGGCGGTGGGAAAGAGACTGAAGCCGAGACACGTGGTCAGGACCAATAATATTGCTGATTCTTCTTTGGACTTTATCAAGGAGTTCAAGGTAAATAGCAAGGGCACCGGACCATTTTGTGGCAGCAATATTCTAATCATTTATGGTTTCAATATCTTTGATAAAACCACAAAGACCTTGTCATAGTTCCGGCCTAATTCTGTTTCGTGCACTGTTAGAATTCGGAATATAAACTTGGTCATGCTGCTCCTTAAGCTAGATGTCTGATTGAGCTAGCATTCATTTCCGCCTGGCTTCTGGGACAACGCTACGAAGGTTGATCTATTAAGACCTTGCGGTATGTTTCCGCCTCTGAATATTTCATTTATTATTTCCGTAATCTTGTCTAATGCCGAGAGCATTTCTATTGCAATCCCATCTGATCCTGCTGGTTTTTGTTTTTGTTCAGCTGAACCAGCTCCGATCTTCTGTCAGATTTTAATATTTCAGGTCCTTCCATATTTTGGTCTATTGCCAGTTTCTCTCTCTCTCCCTCTTTCCCCTCTCCCCTTCTCTCTCTTTCCTCTATCTATCTTCTTTCTCTCTCTCTCTCTCTCTTTTTTATAGCATCTTATATTCCCAAACAGTCACACATCTGCTCGATGTTGCTTAACTTCAGTGATCGGACGAGAACCGGTGTAGAAAATGAATTAAATAAGTACACAAAAATAGTAAAGAACGTAAGACAAGGATGTGTCTTCTCGCCGGATTTATTGAACATTTACAGCATGGCTATCTTAAGAGAACTAGAGGTTCTACCAGGATTTATTAATGGTGGGTGCAATCTTAACAATATAAGATACGCAGAGGACATTGTGTTGATTACAGTCACAGAAAAAAAAACAAGAAAAAAACAAAACAAACTAAAAACTAAATGGAAAGCGTAACGTAGATTCCCTGTGCTTTTCGATAAATATTTTTATGGTAATTGTTCTGATGACCGTTCCTCTTTGTTACGTAGACTTTATGACTTTAAACGCAGTACTAGATTGGCAACAAGGTCTCATCATTTTGCAGTTAAAACGGCTAAATGTAATCGTAAGTTTTATGCTAACAATTTCCCCTCTCACACTTTTCAGTTGTGAAACTCTCTTCTAGCTTCTTGCTTTTCAGTCAATTTTGAACTTTGTTGTAATGGAATGTCCCACACTCCCTATCGCCTATGTGGACTGACTATATATATATATATATATATATATATATATATAGTGAGTACCGGATCTACCTGGGGGCTGGCTTCGGGAATTACTAGCCTGCTACCTGATTCCCTGTCTTTCAGTAGTGTATTCTCTTTTACATTAAACATCTCTTCTTTCATCTACGCGCGTGTTTCTGTTCTTTGAAACGAGTACCACATTTGTCCGTTTGTAACCTCTTTAAGGATACAACAATCTTTAAAAAATTAAAAGTAACATCAATGTTTTTATTTCTGTCTTCTTAATTCCTGTTCTTTTATTGTTCTCTCGCCTTAATAATGTCCCATATTCTCTTACACTCAGTAAACTCTTGCGTTTCTGGATTTATTGACTTGCCTGGAGTGATTTCGATTTAAAAAAAAAAGGAAAAGGCCTGACTGAAGATGAATAATTTCTTTCTGAATTTCTGAGACGAGGAAATATAATTATTTACATTTGGACATCATCTTTGCTATAGTAATCACTATTTTTCGACCGTTTTGATCCCCGGCCTTCTTAAGGTATCTGTCGATCCGGATCACCTCCAGGGAATTTTGAAAGGAACCCTTTATATATCAGTGAGAGTAGGCTGTTCTCGTTCTGCTGAACATGTCTAGAGATAACTTATTTTGATCTTTTCATTATTGCTCAATCAATACTCGCCTTGTTTCTGCTGAGTTTGAGTCAACACTACCCAACTCATGAATAATGTTAATAAAAAGATAAAGAGATTACATGGAATTTTCTTTTTTGATTAAAAATGGCGGAGAATAACATAGACACAGTCGTTATGGAATTAATTAGGAATTTTTTTTTTTTTCTAATGGCTGCTGCTGAAGATGATGTCGGTATTTGATTGGTTCTTAGCTATTATATATTCAGCGTCTGCTAGCGATAGTCAGCCTATTCCCGGAGCTGGGATACTTAGACGTGGTGCAAATGTCAGCAAGTTTGTCTCGCTACATCAAATAAGAGTAGTGAGTTCGATCCTCAATGGGTGCCCTATACTTTCGGCTGTGAGTCCACATCTAAGCTACGCTTAATAAATCGCTATTTCAGGAGTTGGAGCACTTCGAGGTGGTGCAATGGTTAGCAAGACAGTCTCGCTAGATCAATTACTACTAGATTGTGTGTTCGATCCTCACTGGGTGCTTTATGCATCCAGCCTTCTATCACATTTAAGTTCCGTATAATAAATCGCAAGATGGGTACTTTGATGTGGCGTAATGGTTAGCAATTAGTCTTGCTAGATCAATTATAACTGAATAGTGAGTTCGATCCTCACTGGGTGCTACATACTTTTAACATTTTGCCACATCTAAGCTACGCTTAATAAATGGCCTTTTCCAGCAGTTGGTGTAATGGTTAACAAGCTTATCTCGCTAGATTAATTACTACTGGATTGCGTGTTTGATCCTCACTGCCCCCCTTAATCTCGGCCTTGTACCACATCCCAAGTTACGCTCTTGTAAATGTCTATATGGCAATTCGAGGTGGTGCAAATGTTAGCAAGCTTGTCTCGCTAGAGCAATTAAAACTGAGAAGTGAGCTCCCTAATCCGGCCTTGTGCCTCAGCTAAGCTAGGTTTAGTAAATCATTATATGGCAACTTCGATGTAGTATAATGGCTAGCAATCTTCTCGCTAGATCAATTAAGACTGAATAGCGACTTCGATCCTCACTGGGTGCCCTATACTTTCAGTCTTGTGTAACATCTACGCCTAGAAAATCAACATACACAGTAAGAGGCACTTTGACATTGTGTAATAGTAAACTTGTCTTGCTAGATCAATTACTACTGGATTGTAAGTTCGATTCTCACTGAGTACCCCATATTTTCGGCCTTGTGTCACATCTAAGCTACGCCTAGAAAATCAACATCTAATCTATACTTAGTAAATAGCTTTTCCAGAAGTCGTTTTCCTATCTTGTTTGGGTGAGTCATTCTGTTGGTCTACTTAGTGAAGAGTAGATAGGAGATGAACTTATTAGAAATGCACTGTGCCTCTCTCGACGTTTTTTATCGCCTTGCTTTATCTAGAATTGTCAAAATGGCGTATCTCAAGTATCTTGTCGTGTGTTAACTTTCGAAATATCGTTATGCCAAGACCATTATTGCTGATGATAATTTCAAATTTGTTTACGCGTCCTTCTCCGATAGATGTCGCCACGGTTTGTTCATATCTTAATAGTCTTAAATGAATAAACTAATCATAGCTTTAAAAGAAGGCGGGAGGTGGGGAGCTGAATTCTTTTTAATCTTCTACGCAGGAAAGAAGATAATAAACTTGACTGGACATAAGTGAAGTAAGCGTTGTTATCATTAGAAATAATGGATTTTGTAAGATTGAGTGATTACGGTTCATTCTCGTTTTAAAATGAAAGCGTGTGTTGCACTGGCGTACATAGAGTTTGTGCCGTCTGAGGCGCTGGCAGAATTTTACGCCCACTCTAAGCAACATTCCAAAACTGGACAACATGGTCAAAATATAAAGGTTGCAATTATGACTATTTATTTTACTTTGATTGCAAACAAACAAGTAAACAAAAAATGGACAAAAATTTACAAATAATTAGAAAAATTGTTGATTTTTAGTAAATAATTTTTATAATGAAATGTTATTACATTTCTATTAGTAACCTCTTTCTACCTCCCATCGGCATTGCTAATGCTAGCCTTCGGGAAAGTGGCTTATTGCACCTTGTCAAACTAACACCCTCGGCTGACATGAAGTAGAAAATCTATATTGAATCCATTGCTAGGACAACTGCTAAAAAATTGCTTCGCTGTGTCGTGTGAGTCAGTTTTTATCTCCTGAATCGTTCTGATATATCTATAAGTCTACCATTCGTCCATACCTCGAATATTGCTGCCACATATAGTCCAGTGCTCCTACTTTTTATTTAGTGATTTTTGTTAAAATTCAAATAAGAATCAGCAATATTATTGGTCCTGAACTGACGTCTCGGCTTCAGTCACTTTCCCACCGCCGCAGAGTTGCTTCCCTGTGCCTTTTATATAAATACTTTCATCGTAATTCTTCGGATCAACTCTTCGCTATGCTACCTAGACTATGAATTTAAGCGCAGTACTAGATTAGCAACAACGTCTCATCAATATCAATTTGCAGTTGAATTAGCTAGATGTAACCATAAGTTCAATTCTATCAGTCTCTTTTCTCGCACTTCTCGCTTGTGGAGCTCTCTCACGGCTTCTTGCATTCCAGTCGAGTTTGATCTTCAAAAATTTAAATGCAATGTCAGTTGTTATCTACTGCCTTTTCTATTACTCTTCTATTGTTCTCGCTCCACAGTAATCTTTCTGTTTTCTAATTCTTTCATCTCCCAGTAGTAATTCCTTGTGTCTTAGTGAATTTACTACCTTGCTTGGGGCGATTTCAATTGATAAACAAAAAAAAAAATGAAAATAAAAAAATAACAATATAGGATTTATGAAAAAATACCTAGCATTGACTCAAAGTAAACAATGTTAACATTTAGCTCAGAAACTTTCATTCATCCGTCCATATTAAACAAATATCGTCCCTTCTGCCATGCTGGTTTCTGTTGATGAAAAAAGTTTTCGCGAGAGGCTGTAAAAGGCAGGCAGAGCTTTCTCAGCACAAAACTCTACATGCCTTTAAACAAAAATAAATAAAAAATCACCGTAAAGGTATTTCGCAATGTTATTTTTCTGCTAATTCACAAGGAATGTTTTCGTCTCAGTCGATGTCGAAATCTGTTTGTCAGGACAACCTGTCTACCTTCAAAACTAGCTCATATATTCTTTTAAATGTCAGTGCGACGTCGAATGTATAGGCAGGACAACTTAACTTTTGGAGAGGTGAATTCCACGGCATGTTCCGGCATTTATCAGGAGGGGCTAGCTGATTGGCAATATGCATATCTGTTGCATCTGGGTTTGCAATTGTGAAGCACTTGATAAATAATCGTCAGTGTGTTGCTGCGTATCGGGAAGACATGTTCTCCGCGTTGTGCAGATCGCACTTCGAATTTCATCTGAAAGTGCCTGAAATAATTTTCATCAGCTCTAAGCCGCCTTCCCTGTGCAAACAGAAGGAATGGCTGCTTCGTCTCAATATAATCCGCATTTAAATATATTATCGCTAGTATATTTCTAGCAAATGCATTTGTGTGTTTTTTTAATCGTAAGTTTATTTTATTATCCTCGATCTGATAAGGGAGGAGAAAAAACCGGTCAACTCGCACCAATATTTTTTCAGTGTTTACTTTTTTCTCTTGCTTTTAAACACATTTGTGTCCATTTTCTATCCCCCCACCCCAAATCTTTAACATTAAAAGAATTATTCACACAACATATGCGGTAGGTGTGCAGTTCTCGACCCGAATCACTTCCCAAAATGTGTGTCTATATGTATGAAGCATACATGTCCATATATGTGGATATGTCGTCTATAAATATACAGGATCATAAAAAAAAACCGTTAAAACTTTTCTGGAATTACTTTTATTAGAAAAGCAGCAATGATATGATGACTTTATGGATAAGGTGGTATGATTTTCTTTACTGGAAACTTTTGAATAAAACGAACTGACTCAAAGGCTTAAAATAAATAATATATTTCTATTCATTTTCTTTAGAGTGAGTCCCTTGTTATTCGGTGGAGCAAAAAGTTCGTTACTAAGACGGATATTGGTGGCAGTCTGGAGAAATGCCCGTTAGTGGCAATATTTGAAGTCAAACCATGATAGCGGTAGTAGTAATGTTAGAAATGGATCAGTGTCAATTTCGGCCCAGAGCAGAAATATCATTAGCAGATGACCTCTTAACTACTTCACTCGTCACTGGCTTCTCTAGCGGTCGTACATCTAGTTGTAACTCCCATCGTCGCTTCTGTTTCTACCTAAGAGGTTTTGAACAGGCTGCGAGACTCTGACGTGAACATTGGTTTCGTCTAACATCAAAAGTCTCATTGTGTCAATTTTTTTTATTATTGCCCATCATTATTTTATTTTCCTTTTTGTTTTTACAACAGAAGTTATGCTTGGAGCCTACCTCAGTCACAAATAAGTAGGCTCTGATCCTGCAAACTTTTTTCAGTTTTTCAGTCGGTTTCAGCCTTTTCTTCCTCTTCCTCTTTTAATTAAGAGAGAGAGAGAGAGAGAGAGAGAGAGAGAGAGAGAGAGAGAGAGAGAGTCTTAAAGGAAAGCGCATCTGCCTTATTTTAATTTGAATTCTTTTTATTTTTGTTTATATATTTTCTTTTTATCGGGGGACACTGCAAATTCAAACTGTCTCCAATAATTCTCCATTCCTTTCACCGTCGTCTTTGTATCGTCGTCAGATGATTCCCCCACCCAACAAAAAAAATGATCTTCTTCTATGTGCCGTGTCCCTTCGATCATGGTTTTCCACATTTTCCTGTCCTTTCTAGCTCTTAGTAAATTTTGTCTTTCTTTATCTTCCCTAAAACTTTTTCTTCCATCTATTTATTCAAGCTCACTCGCTTTGTTTTCCTCTGTCCCTCCTGCCTTCAATCTGTCTTGTGATTACCAAATTTTCTAAACCTTCTTTCCTCATTATGTGGCATAGAAATTTCAACTATCTCTTCCTGATGTTAAATTTAAGCGTCTTTTCTATTTCCATTTTCTCTAAAACATTGTCGTTGCTCACATGTTCGATACATGGTATTCTTATCATCCCTCTGTAGAACCACATTTCTGTTGCTTCAAGCCATCATATACATCAAGTCTGTTGCTTCACATGTCATTGTATTGCTTCAAGTCATGTTGCTTTATATGTGATGAGATTGTCCCAACATTTACTGTTATATAGGAGGACTGATATTACGTAACAGTTTAGTAACCTTTTCTTTGTTTCTAAAGAAATTGTCCTGTTTCTTAATACTTTGCTTAGCTTTTGGAAGTTAACTTTCGTTATCCCAATACACCTTCGGAATTCAGTTTTGCACTTTTCATCTTTTTTTTTTTTTTAACACTTCCCAGATATTTAAATTTTTGTATTTTGTTTGATTTTGGTATCTCCAATTTGTAATTTGCATGTGGGTCTCTCCCTTTTGCTAACAAGTTTTCTTTCATTAACTTCTGTCGGTGTTCTTGTAGTTTCCTTTCAGTATTTGATATCAACACTGTGCCATCTGCATATTTTATCTTGTTAAGACTGTGGCTGCCAATAATGAACAGTAGTAGGACTTCTAATTCTCTCAGAAATACCTCAGTGTATAGGTTGAATAAGTCCGGTGGTAAGGATACATCTTTTCACCGGACTTATTGTCTTAGACCCCTTTCTATTTTTGCACATTTACTGAATTCATTTTCTATCCGTATGCAGGCGGTTTGCTACCAGGATAGGTTCTGGATTATTCTAATATCATTCTGAAATATAACAAAGTTACCTAGTATTTCCAACAGTTCTTTATCAATCCTATTGAACTTTAGGAGTTCTGTTTTTCGACTAAAAGTACTATCATAGAACCGTTAAAAATTAAAAAAAAATCTTCCTATACGTAGACAGGACTGAATATATGTTTATAACCTCTGAAATCGAAGAACGAAATTTTAAGCGTAACATGAAACCTTCAATAAGGGACGTTCACACACACAGAGATACACCCCCACACACACTCGTCAAGAGAGTGCTGATAATTTTGCAACCCGACCTACTTCCCAAAATCTCACCAAATGACTTCTCAGTATCCCGATTGTAGGTGCATGTATATAAAAGCAAACGACGGGTATTTTATTGCGAAAAATACAAATTCCGGCTGATAAAATGTTTTGTTTTGAGAGGAATTAATTTCGTTATTAATATTTGATTAGCCTTCTTCATCTTCTTAGTTATTTTTTCTTTTTATTTTAGCGTTCTTTATTAGCTCGAATTCCGGTCGGGTTCGTTACATTCACTTGCGCGCAAAAACCTCGCGAAAGGCATGAATCCATTTCTCCCTCCCAGCTATGGGTTAAATAGTAAGACTTGTATGTGGAGAAAAATCATTGTTATTCTCAGTTATTAATTAAGTATTTACTCACAAAAGAATAATTATTCATACAACCCTAAATATGTTTTGGCTTTAAATAACTTTGATAAGCCGTAAAAATCAATCAATCAATCAATCAATCAATCAATATCGATCTTTATTCCGAGTTATCGCTATTTATTTTAACGTTTAAAAACAAGTGGGTCCTGACCATTTGGATTGAAAGCATCAATAAGATGAAGAAATCGAGTGGAAGCATACTTTTCGGAATCACTTTTCTTTTACTTTTACAAATGATAGTAGATATCTTTTTCATTTTAAGAAATCTGATAGGCAAGTAGAATTCTGCACCAAAGAATAGTGTGAAAAGAAACCTCCTTAGCGTCTTTGTCACTTTACTTGCATGGGGAAGACGATGTCAAAGAGAGTAATAAAATCGTAATCGTTTGTTTTCTATGCATCTTTTCGCTTTACTGATTTTTAATGGGAAGGCTCTTCGATAAAATCTTACTGATTTTTTCTTTTTTAATGGAGTGCCCTTTGGCCCAGGCCTTAGTGGCTTTCAGTATGTTGCCCCTTGTCCCAGTCCTCGTCGGTTTTCAGTGGTCTGTCCCTTAGCTCAATCCGTACCGGGCTGCTGATAAACAACCACTGTCAAATCACTCCACCACCTCATCACTTTTGTTTAACCGATTCGAAACCTTTAAAATCCCTCTAAGTTTCTATCTATCTATCTATCTATCTATCTATCTATCTATCTATCTATCTATCTATCTATGTCTGCTCATTATCTGTCTATCTGCTTTATCACCATCATCTCTTGCCATCTATCGATTTATGTTTAATCATCATCATCAACATAATCTTTTCTCTCCCACTCATCATCATATCTATCTATCTATCTATCTATCTATCTATCTATCTATCTATCTATCTATCTATCTGTTTATTCATCAGCAGCAGCATCTCTCCCGCGATCTCTATTGTTTCATCATCATCATCATCATCATCATCATCATCATCATCATCGCTCTCTCTGTCGATCTGTTTCATCATCATCATCATCATCATCATCATCATCATCATCATCATCATCATCATCATCTATCTCTATCTATCTATCTATCTATCTATCTATCTATCTATCTATCTATCGATCTATGCATGAACAATGCCTGTTGCAGAGCAATGATAAGAAATTAATATTTGCAGGACGTCACTCGTGATTACGCTCTAAAAATGTGTCGAAGCGTGTTTACTTGTGCCAGACTAAGCTTAGTATGCACATGCGAAATATATATATATATATATATATATATATATATATATATACTCACATAAGTATTTATCAAGGTTATATTCATTTATATGCATATATGTATAGTTAGGGTACTGAAAAATCTTGGGCCGACGAGGAAGCGATTTAAAAATCCTGATGTGTGTAATAAGATGAAGAAAGCAAGTCAAAATATTAATAAAACAATTAATTCCTCGCACACTAGTAACTTGTTATTAACAAAAATTTTCACCTTCCTCAACAAAGATCTCTATTTGACTTTTGCATTTATATGGTGGGAGCGGTGCTGAAAAGTTCTTAGCTCGATGTTTCAAGTAATACAAATATGTCTGATTAAAAAATAAAAATGGATTAATTCTTTAGAATTTTCGCACTTCTCGCTTGTGGAACTCTCTTCCGGCTTCTTGTTCGCCAGACAAGTTTGATCTTGGAAAATTTAAATGCAATGTGAATCGTTATTCACTGTCTTCCTTATTCCTGTTCTTGCTCCTTCATAATGTTTTTTTTTTATTTTCATTTATATTCTTTTACACTCTTTGATGCCTTGCTTTAGGTTAAATGATTATATATATATATATTTATATATATATATATATATATATATATATATATATATATATATATATATATATGTATGTATGTATGTATGTATATATTTATTGATAATACTAGTGGTTAGTATATATATATATATATATATTTCCAAGAGGATAAAATCCAGGTAGAGCTCAGTGTACAATACAGAGTTAGAATATGATATAAAAGGCTCAAATACTAATATTCCACGGTTATAATTTATTATATTGGATCGTAATTACGATTCCAATGTAATAAATTATAACCATAGAATATTAGTGTTTTTTTATATATATATATATATATATATATATATATATATATATATATATATATATATGGAGAATCAATGTGGAGAAACTTGTTTCATTGTTGAAATTTGACCACCCTTCCAAATTGATATATATATACATATATATATATATATGTCAATTTGGAAGGGTAATCAAATTTCAACAATGAAATCAAATCTTCCTCTCACTTATCTTTCTCAAGAAAAATTCCTACTTGCACTTTGCATTTTTTTTTTACACTGACACATATAAGGGGGGTGCTGAAAAATTCTCAACTCCTCCATGAATGGATTTTTGGTCAGTTGTTCAGATTTCGGGAAGTGAATTTGGCCTAGAACTTTTCTGCACCATCTTGTCAAGATTTGTGCGTGTGTGTCTGTAGGTGTGTGTGTGTCGTGGGGGGGTATATGACTTTTACTGTTTTAAGTTCTTCCTACGTTTAAGGTTACTTTCTTAGATTTTCAGTGTTATTATCAACATATATTCAATCCTGTATACATAGAGGAAGATTCTTTAAAAAAAAACCTTTAACTTCTGCGAGAGTATATTTATTTTAAAAAACAGAACTCCTATAGTAGCGTTAACATTTTTTGTAATCATCTGACGAAGTTTCCGCGAATGTGTTGACAGGAATGGTGAACAGGTGGGGACTATATAGAATCATCAGATCACTTGTACTTTTCTAATCCCATAGAAGTGTAAACATTTTAAAATCAACCTGTATACGCAAGTAGTACCCACCACATATATGTACACATGCATGCTTCTTACACACACACACACACACACACACACACACACACACACACACACACACACACACACACACACACACACACACACACACACATTTCTTATTTATTTTTTTTTACAGTAAGGTTTACCTTGTACAAGGCCCTTGGTTCACTCAAGTTAGAGGGTTACGTTAAGGGATAGTTTATACGGATATCAGGGGAAGATAATGGTTAACACTAGGTTTAAACAGGTTAAGATTTTAGTGATAGGGGAAACATCCTCTTGTGTGCAGTGGCCCGCGAGAAGAAGCAGTTTAAATAGAACTTACTTCTCAGCGGTCGAATCTGGAAGGATTGTGGGTGGTTTGCTACAATGTAAACGTCATGGCGGATCCTAACGATGAAGGCTAGACCTGGCGGAACCAAGGAATTTCTTTAAATATTATATTTACTTGATCCTGAATTTAAATTAATAAGAAATAATGTCGGATTATAAAAAATTCATTAACTGTTTAGAAATTATAAGGACAATCTCATCAGAGAATTACGACTGCTCCCATCCAGCACGATTTAGAATTGCTACTCTTTCTACACAATACAAATTAGTACATAAGTACAAGAAAATATACTAACAACGACCATTTTGAAAATGACTAATGCTTGACTGAAAGCGTCTGGGGCAATAATCACTATGGACAGTTTCTTTATTCTATTCGCTCGAGCTTGTTCGGACGTTCAGGGGTCTATCATGCTAGCCATCATGAACCTCCATCAAAGTCGAGAGGTCATTTGGGTTGCATACCGTGCCATAACATAACTGTGGTTATTTGGTGGGCGGCCAACACGGCTTGCGAGATGGCGAGGTGGACATTTTGCTCGCTAGTAGTTCTCTGTAAAGCAAATTCTATGTTCCGTACGAGACAAACTGCAAAAACATTAGAAAAAAATACAAAATTTGTTCACCGCATTCAATTTATATAGATATAAAAAAGAAAAATATATATATTAGGTTGGTGCAAAAATATTACGTCATTATTTTTGCACCAACCTAATATATATATATATATATATATATATATATATATATATATATTATAAATTAATTGATTTAAAATATGGTTTTCGCCACACAGTTCTAACCATGTATAGCGGAAAAACCATATTTTAAATCAATTAATTTATAATATTAATGCTCTATATAAATTTACCTTGAGCACTATTTTGTAAAAATAAAAATATCTATAAGAACACCGGATTATATATCTTACTGTTCTTTCTTTTTTATTTATATATACATATATATATACACACACACACACACATACACACGCGCGCACACACACACACATATATATATATATATATTGAGAGACAGAGGGAGATTCATATATATATATAATTATAATATATCGAACATAATGTTGGTGTTAATAAAACAATGCTCAATGTAATATAAAAGAGCTATTAAGTATATATTAATAAATATTATCCTTCACCGGTAGCATGACTCTGAGTTCCATGCACAACACAGTCTTCAGGTGCTGAGTATGAACTGACCATTACACAATTTTGAATTATAATATATCTGATTATCTCAATGTTAGCATAGTTATGTATTATGCTGGGATTACAGTTTTGTAAATTTAAAATTATATTTGGCAATTAAAATAAGCGGGATTTATATATGAATGTAACAAAAGAAAATTAAAAAATTGTATTTTGGAGTGGTGAATATACGTATTTTAATTTTTTAATTAAGAAAAATAATTAAAGGGAGATTACTGTTTCTTATTTAAATAAAAAATTTCTATTCAAAATGAATAAATAGTAATTTACATAAAAAGTAGACCTTCTTTTACATTATAAATTTAAAAAAAATTGCAGATATCTATTTTTATGCCTACATGTAAACATCAATTAATTTCCCTTGTTGAATAAGCTAGGGTTAGTTAAGGGTTTTTTTCAACTAAACATAAACTGCATTTATTTCCTTTACCGTTATAAACCTTAACTCTAGAGATAATTTGTATAGATATAATTTAAACTTAAAAAAAATAAAATATGAATATTTATCACTCAAAAAATAAAATATTTAAATTTTGCGTGTTTGAGTGTGTAAATATTCAATTATATATATATGATATATTCATATATATATGAATATGTATATACAAATATTCACATATACATATATATATATGAATTTATTATATATATATATATATATATATATATATATATATATATATATATAAGGCCGATGGATAAATTGTCGTCTAAATTACGCAAAAATGAAAATAATACAAACATCTCATTTTAAGAAACATATTTACCAAAATCACATAAAAATATCTTGAAATACTAAACAGTAAATTTATTCAATAAATTCGCCATTCGCCATGGCCTCCAGACGACTTCGGGATCCCCTGCAACTCTTCTGGACGTCCTCCTTGTTTAAGTTGGTGAATGCTGCCATAATCCTTGCCTTCAGTTCATCTTTGCTGTTACTTCAGTTACTTTGCTTTTTGGTCTCACGCTTTTGTTGTGCCCCACACATAATAATCAAGGGAGATGCAGTCTGGGAAGTTAGGTGGCCAGATGTAAGGGGGATGTAATCGCAGAAATTGTCTGACAGCCATAACTGACTTCTGCTTCTGTGGCGTGGTGCAGAGTCTTGTTGCCAGACATTGGGTCTTCCAACAGTCAGCCTTTTAACTCCGGACAGCATTACCACCTCAAGCCTCTCGATGTAGGCCTTCCTATTGAGTCTGAGGCTCTGTGGGAAGATGAATGGAGGCATAACGGCGACATCACTAATGATCACTCCAAATAGCTTCGTAATCCTCATTAGATTTATCCAATTCATTCTGAATCTACTGCACTCTCCTCAGATTGACACCGAAACATTCTGAGCTTCCGGTGCGAATGCCAAGCAATAAAGCGTGTCGTTCCCAAATTTCGCGTGGAGTGAATTGCAACATTGTGCTTTTTTTCTCACAGACGGTGCCCAACTGACGCTACTATGCTGTGCAGTCGACAAAATCAAACACAAACAAAGCGCATGCGCTAAATTAAAAATATAAAATGGTGACAATTTACTCATCGCACTCTGTATGTATATAGGGTGTATCAAAAATACTTTGCCATGTAAACATATTAACTTATGTAGTAGTGAGTTAACTGAGAAGTGTTTCGTTTAACGATGACAGGATATTAAATTCGTCAGCAGGTATATATATACGGCCGCGCGAATGGAACTGGACGCGAGGCTGCACGGCTGTATTAGATTCCATTTCTGACGGC